AAAAAAAAAAAAAAAAAAAAGAAAAACCCAAACAAAAAATAAAGAAAAAAAGAGCCAAGTTAAATCATCACTATTTGGCATAACAATGCCAGGAATTGGGGTTACTACTTGCAAGTTGCATCTGTGTTTACTCTCGCTAACCCTCAAATTTGGACTCTAATACTGACTGTTTCTATCCCTGTCTAATCATTATCCTCTTATGAGATAGACTACTTGCATCTATATATATATGAAGAAAATCACTAATCTCTTTCTATGTTCAACCATAATTGGTCTTAGTAATTCAAATTCACTTTCTTTTAGGCTCATTTAACCACTAATTAACCCATGAGCTATGTTCTAAAGGTTCACAATAGTAATCTCAATGGGCAATTCAAATGATAATACGGACAAAATGTAAACTCATACATCTTACGTTCGAATCTTGGCAACCCCTTGAGACCACTTCGTCACAAAGAATATATCTCTCGTGAATGTGAATATTCTAGTTCTAACGTAGATATTCTGTCTTTGATTGAATCAGATAAAAAATTAGTCAAAATTAGTGAAAAAATCTTTTTTACAATGGTGGCGGCTGGTAAGGAAAATGTGCTGTCGGTTATAGATAACAGCAAGGACACAAAGAAGACATCAAGTACCACAAATTACCAAAAAAATGTCAAAATCAAGACAAGGACACAAAAGCTAGCATGCAAGAAGGGAGGTGGACGGGGCGAGGTCCAACAATTGGATTGGGTGGCCAGACATCATGAAAGTGACTATTTTCGAGTTTACAATTCTGGATCAATCACTTTTCTCCATCTCCAACCTTGCTTAAATTCATTGTTTTTAGCTTAAATGTGGCATATATTATAGGGCATATGCCACATGATTTGATGTCTTACGACATAAACGTGAAAATGACATGATTAATTAATACAATAATAATTACGTTAGATTTGTGTTAAATATAAATAATTTGGTTCTGATTCGACAAACATGTTTAGTTGATATTGTATAGTGATTATGATTGAATTAAATTTTTTTTTTTTTTTAATTTCTTGAACTTGTGTTGTATACATTTTCACAAAATTAAATGATTTTTCTTTGATTTTATGAGGATATGAATTAAGTAGATTTTTAATTTATTGAAAACATATGTATGGTAATTTTAATTGAGAGAAACGACAATCTTAGTCCTATAGTATTTAATTCACAAAATTATATGAACGTGACATGAATGGGACATTTTTCAAAATAATACAATACGAATATGACGTGAATCTAATCTAAATTATGAAACTACTCCTCTCCATTGACAGTATAGTTTCAGCTACATGTATCAAAAAGTGTGATGGCCAGCAGCTAATCGTCTTTGTTGTTGTGTTAGGCGTTCAAACTAGAAAAATATTTGTAAATGAGACGAAGTTCGTTGCATCACTAAGCAATGTCACCGATCTGGGAAGAGGTTTGCAAAACTACAATATCTGTGTGTCTTGAGAGAGAGAGTAGTGATTATGTGCACTGAGATCAATAGTAGTTTGTCTAAACTCCAACGGTAGTTGAACCGATAATAGGGACGAGTTCTAAGTTTAGACGTCTTAAATTTAAAATTTGATAACTCTTTGGGGGTTAAATCACGAAAGATTTATCTCTTATAGATATTCTAGTCCCAACATAGATTGTCTACCATTAGACCGCTGAAGAGATTAATCGAGGTAAACATAAATTGATTCCAACACTTTTGACGGTCGAAAAAAAAAAAAAATTAGTTTGCCCGGCATCAGAGGAAATGATGTTAAGTTTGAATCCAACTAGCCAATGGGTCCAATGTTTTAACAAAATAATCATTACCATTCTATGTTTATCCTAGTTTTGAACTTGGTCTATGGGTATCAACACTATACAACTGACTCCAAATCTGACCAGGGTAGGTTCAAATTATGCGACGTTTAAGCAAGTTGTTTGATTGATGATGGCGATCTCAGCCAGATCTCTTTCCTTTTCTTCTTTTGTTGATTTTTAGGATTTAATTTGCAATTGAAAGATTTGAAAAAATTGTCGAGAAGTTGATTATTAATTTCTAGGATTTAGCTTTAGGAAATCGCTCTTGAGAAATTGAGATCAATTTCGACTCTAAATTTCTATTGAACTATGTTTGAGTAAGAATTTAAGGTTGACAGTGAGCTAGAACCGAATCAGCCCAGCTAATTCATAGAATATACCCCCCCCCCCCCCCCCCCCCCCCCTCATCCCAC